TAAACAACCATGGTGGCATTACACATCCCTGTCTAAGATTTTCTTTTACCGGGAAGTAATCTCCCTCACTTCTAAACACCCTAACCTGAGCCTCACTATCTGCCTCCCTTTCTTCATCAACATTTAAAAGTTCCTCAAAATATTCCTGCCATCTACCCAATACCTTCTGCTCCCCATCTACTAACTCCCCTACTCTTTATTTAACTGACAAATCCATTCATTCCCTAGGCTTTCTTAACTTTGTCTCCAAAATTTTTTCTTTTTTTCATTAAAATTTTTTTACAGTGCCTCTCCCACTCTACCATCTGCTCCCCTTTTGCACTCTCTCACTACTCTCTTCACCTTTCTTTTACTCTCCATATGCTCTGCTCTTCTTATAACACTTCTGCTTTGTAAAAACCTTTCATAAGCTACCTTTTTCTCTTTTATCACACCTTTTACTTCATCATTCCACCAATCACTCCTTTTTCCTCCTGCACCCACCCTCCTATAACCACAAACTTCTGTCCTACATTCTAATACAGTGGACCCCCGCATAGCGAACTTAATCCGTGCAAGAGGGCTGGTCGTTATGCGAAATGTTCGCTATGCGAATTAATTTTCCCCATAAGAAATAATGGAAATAAAATTAATCCGTGCAAGACACCCAAAAGTATGAAAAAAAATTTTTTTTACCACAAAAAAATGTTAATTTTAGTACACACAAACTGAAAAAGGCATGCACAATTACATGACACTTACTTTTATTGAAGATCTGGTGATGATTGATGGATGGGAGGAGGGGAGAGAGAGTGTTAGTGTTTAGAAGGGAATCCCCTTCCATTAGGACTTGAGGTAGCAAGTCCTTTCCGGGTTACTTTCCCTTCTCTTTTAATGCCACTAGGACCAGCTTCAGAGTCACTGGACCTCTGTCGCACAACAAATCTGTCCATAAGCTCTGTACCTCCCGTTCCTTACATTTGTCTAAAATGGGCCATAACATTGTCATTGAAATAGTCCACCAGCACGGCTTGCAACAGCTGTGTCAGGGTGATTTTCATCCATAAAGGTTTGCAGTTCAACCCACTGTGCACACATTTCCTTAATTTTTGAAGTAGGCACAATGGATTCCACAACTGGCATAGGCTTCTCAGGGTTAGCCCCAAACCCTTCAAAATCTTTCTTAATTTCCATACTAATTCTCACCCTTTTTACCACAGGGTTGGCACTAGAAGCTTTCTTGGGGCCCATGGTCACTTATTTTCCAGAAACAGCACCGAAAACACTGTAATAATACGAAATATTCCGAGTGTATGCTTGAATGTTACCGCGGAGGCTGGCTGGTAAACAATGGGACGGGCGGCACATGTGAGGCTGGCTGAGGCCGCACATTGGACGCGTCTCGGACGAAGGTCGCTGAGCGGGTTTTTGTCCACTATGCTAAATATTACCACTAAATATTACCCTGCTCACACTCCATCAGATCGTCAGGTCCCAAGTACCATTCGTCTCCATTCACTCCTATCTAACACGCTCACGCACGCTTGCTGGAAGTCCAAGCCCCTTAACCCACAAAACCTCCTTTACCCCCTCTCTCCAACCCTTTCGAGGACGACCCCTACCCTCCTTCCTTCCCCTATAGATTTATATGCTTTCCATGTCATTCTACTTTGATCCATTCTCTCTAAATGACCAAACCACCTCAACAACCCCTCTTCTGCCCTCTGACTAAATACTTTTATTAACTCCACACCTTCTCCTAATTTCCACACTCCGAATTTTCTGCATAATATTTACACCACACATTGCCCTTAAACAGGACATCTCCACTGCCTCCAACCGTCTCCTCGCTGCTGCATTTAACCAACCCAAGCTCACACCCATATAAGAGTGTTGGTACTACTATAACTTTCATACATTCCCTTCTTTGCCTCCATAGATAACGTTTTTTGACTCCACATATACCTCAACGCACCACTCACCTTTTTTCCCTCATCAATTCTATGATTAACCTCATCCTTCATAAATCCATCCGCCGACACGTCAACTCCAAGTATCTGAAAACATTCACTTCTTTCCATACTCCTCCTCCCCAATTTGATATCCAATTTTTCTTTATCTAAATCATTTGACACCCTCATCACCTTACTCTTTTCTATGTTCACTTTTAACTTTCTAACCTTTACACACATTCCCAAACTCATCCACTAACCTTTGCAATTTTTCTTTAGAATCTCCCATAAGCACAGTATCATCAGCAAAAAGTAACTGTGTCAATTCCCATTTTGAATTTGATTCCCCATAATTTAATCCCACCCCTCTCCCAAACACCCTAGCATTTACTTCCTTTACAACCCCATCTATAAATATATTAAACAACCATGGTGACATTACACATCCCTGTCTAAGACCTACTTTTACCGGAAGTATTCTCCTCTCTTCTACACACCCTAACCTGAGCCTCACTATCCTCATAAAAACTCTTTACAGCATTTAATAACTTACCACCTATTCCATATACTTGCAACATCTGCCACATTGCTCCTCTATCCACTCTATCATATGCCTTTTCTAAATCCATAAATGCAATAAAAACTTCCCTATCTTTATCTAAATACTGTTCACATATATGCTTCAATGTAAACACCTGATCTACACATCCCCTACCCACTCTAAACCTCCTTGCTCATCCGCAATCCTACATTCTGTCTTACCTCTAATTCTTTCAATTATAACCTACCGTACACTTTTCCTGGTATACTCAGTAAGCTTATTCCTCTATAATTTTTACAGTCTCTTTTGTCCCCTTTCCCTTTATATAAAGGGACTATACATGCTCTCTGCCAATCCCTAGGTACCTTCCCCTCTTTCATACATTTATTAAACAAAAGTACCAACCACTCCAACACTATATCCCCCCTGCTTTTAACATTTCTGTCATGATCCCATCAGTTCCAGCTGCTTTACCCCCTTTCATTTTACGTAATGCCTCACGTACCTCCCCCACACTTACATTCTGCTCTTCTTCACTCCTAAAAGATGGTATACCTCCCTGACCAGTGCATGAAATTACTGCCTCTGTTTCTTCCTTAACATTTAAAAGTTCCTCAAAATATTCTCGCCATCTACCCAATACCTCCATCTCCCCATCTACTAACTCCCCTACTCTGTTTTTAACTGACAAATCCATATTTTCCCTCTATCATCCACTCTATCATCTGCTCTCCTTTTGCACTCTCTCACCACTCTCTTTACCTTTCTTTTACTCTCCATATACTCTGCTCTTCTTATAACACTTCTGCTTTGTAAAAACCTCTCATAAGCTACCTTTTTCTCTTTTATCACACCCTTTACTTCATCATTCCACCAATCACTCCTCTTTAATGTAAATTCAGTACAGTTCTTTAGTACCTGTGATATCAACAAATATTGAATATTTTTGGCATATTCTAATATAGTGCTGTACCGTTTATTATATGAATAGTTTATTGTATTGTATTGCTAAGTGATTTTGCATTATAGAGCTAGGGTTCATTCAGACACTTCCAAGCATTATACAAAGATATTATATTAATCTTTCTTCTTTCAATGTACCAGCTGTATCCCACCGAGGTGGGGTGGCCCAAAAGAAAAAACTAAAGTTTCTCCTTTTAAATTTAGTAATATATACAGGAGAAGGGGTTACTAGCCCCTTGCTCCTGGCATTTTAGTCGCCTCTTATGACACACATGGCTTACAGAGGAAGAATTCTGTTCCACTTCCCCATGGAGGTAAGAGGAAATAAACTAGAACAAGAATTAGACAGAAAATAGAAGAAAACCCAGAGTGGTGTATATATATATGCTTGTACACGTATGTGTAGTGTGACGTAAGTGTAAGTAGAAGTAGCAAGACGTACCTGTAATCTTGCATATTTATGAGACAGACAAAAGACACCAGCAATCCTACCATCATGTAAAACAATTACAGGCTTTCGTTTTACACTCACTTGGCAGGACGGTAGTACTTCCCTGGGTGGTTGCTGTCAACCAACCTACTACCTATAATTATATTGATATTTTTACTAATATATCTAATTGTATTAACCTTTACACATACTCTGTAATAAATAAAAATTGTTTTTAGCTATTTAGGAACTTCCCACAGGTGGACTGTCAAGGTGACCCCTCTCTGCACAGCTTAATGTTTTCATTTCCAGTTTGTGGTTTAATTTTGAATTGTTCTAACAATGTATTAGGACTTTTTCTACTGTTTTGTGAATAGTTTTGCTGCTTTAGGTGATTGCCTAGTTTTCTGAGTGGCTGTGCCAACTCTGCTAACTGGAAATAAACCTTACCTGATATGAACAGATTGACTTTCCTAACAGTATTCCAAGAACACATCCCATGCAAGTCAAATATTCTTTAGCAGTGCTCCTTACTTCTTTTCTCCTTATCTTGGTTATATACAGGCTGGCCATCACTAATCCAGCAATCAGTTATCCGGTTCCATCAGTAATCCAGCACTAATTTCAGCTAGCACAATTTCAAATTTCGTCATTATACTGACTCAAATTTCATCATTATACTGACTCAGAAATTGTGCAGATGGTTGTAAATCCACAGCAGCAAGCCAGTGGAGGAGAAAGTAGTGATGAAAATGAGGAAGGTGTAGCAGAAAGAGTCTCTACTGATAGGTTAATTAAGTGTATTCTACCCTAACCACTCTGTAATCCGGCAAACTCACTGATTTGACCCACTACTGGTCCCAATGATGCTGGATTAGTGATGGCTGACCTGTATTTATTTCTTCCCTGTTTGAATCTTTTATATGTTTGGTAAGTGGCACTTTGTATCATTTTTCAATATCCTCTTTGTTTTATACGATTGTCCAATACTTTTTTAAGTCATTCCTATATGTGACATTTTTAGGATGAACTGTTATATGCCACTTGCATGCATGCACATGTGTGTGTTTATGTGTGTATGTGTATACATTATATTAAGCTAATTTACATTTTGTGATTTGTTACAAATTTTCAGAATCATCTTCATGCATTGGGCCTTGAAGTGAATATTCCTTTACCTCCTCGCAATGTTCACACCATATCACGTCGTATGGCCAAGGAAAAAAACACATTTAGGTAGGTACTTTTTATTTTCTCTATTTAGTAATCAGTGTTCTCACTAACAGCATATTGTTTCATAATACTGTACTATATTTAGAGATTGTGCATTTTTTTTATTAACTCATTGGCCATTTCTCACCAAGGCAGAGTGACCTGAAAAAGAAGAAATACTCTCATCATCATTTCACTCCATTACTGTCTTGCCAGAGGCATGGTTACACTACAGTTAAAAACCTGCAACATCAGCACCACTCCTTTAGAGCGCAGGCACTATACTTCCCACCTCCAGGACTCGAGTCTGGATTGCTGGTTTCCCTGAATCCCTTCATAAATGTTGCTTTGCTCACACTCCAACAGCACATCAAGTCATGAAAACCATTCATCACCACTCACTCCTATCTAACATGCTCATGCAAGTTTGCTTGAAGTCCAAACCCCTCCTACACAAAATCTCTTTTACTACCTCCCGCCAACCTTTCCTAGAGCGACCCCTACCCCGCCTTCCTTTCCCTGCAGATTTATACATTCTCCAAGTCATTCTGTTTTGTTCCACCCTTTCTAAATGTCCAAACCACCTCAACAACCCCTCCTCATCCCTCTGGATAATACTTTTAGTAACCCCACACCTCCTCCTAATTTCCAAACTACATTATATTTATACATTATATTTATACATTTATACAAACTGCATTATATTTATACATTCCCCACTTTGCTTCCATGGATAGCATTTTTTGTCTCCACAGACTCCTCACTGTACCACTTGCCTTTTTCCCCCTCATCTTTCATAGACTCATCTTCTGACGAGTCCACTCCCAAATATCTGAATATATTCACTTTTTTCATACTCCCTTCCTGTGTTCACTTTTAATTTCCTTCTTTTACATTTTTTTTTATTAACACATCGGCCGTTTCCCATCACAACAGGGTGGCCCAAAAAAGAAACACTTTCATCATCATTCACTCCATCAGTGTCTTGCCAGAGGCATGCCTACACTACAGTTTATAAAACTACAATATTAACACCCCTCCTTCAGAGTGCAGGCACTGCATTTCCCATCTCCAGGGCTCAAGTCCAGCCTGCCGGTTTCCCTGAATCCCTTCGTCAGTGTTACCTTGCTCACACTCCAACAGCACGTCAAGTCCTAAAAACCATTTGTCTCCATTCGCTCCTATCTAACATGCTCGCACACAAAACCCCCTTTATCCCCCTCCCTCCAACCTTTCCTAGACCTACCCCAACTCTGCCTTCCCTCCACTACAGATTTATGCACTCTCGAAGTCATTGTTTTGTTCCTGCCTCTCTACATGTCTGAACCACCTCAATAACCCCTCCTTAACCCTCTGGATTTGGTAATCCCGCACCTCCTAATCTCCAAACTATGGATTCTCTGCATTATATTCACGCCACACATTGCCCTCAGACATGACATCTCCACTGCTTCCAGCCTTCTCCTTGTTGCAACATTCACCACTCATGCTTCACATCCATATAAGAGCATTGGTATAACTATACTCTCATACATTCTCCTCTTTGCTTTCATAGATAAAATTCTTTGTCTCCATAGACTCCTCAGTGCAGCACTCACCTTTTTCCCCTCATCAATTCTATGATTCACCTCATCTTTCATAGACCCATCTGCTGACATGTCCACTCCCAAATATTTGAACACATTCACCTTCTCCATACTCTCTCCCTCCAATCTGATATCCAATTTTTTGCTACCTAATTTTTTATTTATCCTCATCACCTTACATTTCCTTGTTTTTAGTAGTTTATACAGGAGAAAGGGTTACCAGCCCCTTGCTCCCAGCATTTTAGTCGCCGCTTACAACACGCATGGCTTATGGAGGAAGAATTCTGTTCCACTTCCCCATGGAGATAAGTGGGAATAAACAAGAACAAGAACTTGGAAGAAAATAGAAGAAAACCCTATGCCTAGCGTGGAACTCCATGACAGAGTGGGACCTCTGGCCTACCACTCACATGTGAGGATCTGGTGACATCACAGCTAGCAAGGCAGTCTATCTATAAAGTAGCTGGGATTATCTACGTTTTTAGGACAGTAACACTACCGACAGAGGGGTTTGTATATATATGCGTGTACATGCATGTGTAGTGTGGTCTAAATTCAGTCACCAACCTCTGCAACTTCTCTTCAGAATCTCCCAAAAGCACAGTGTCATCAGCAAAAAGTAACTGTGACAACTCCCACTTTGTGTTAGATTCTTCAACTTTTAATCCCACATCTCTTCACAGCTTTCAGATAACCTACCTCCTATTGCATACATTTGCAACATCTGCCACATTGCCTCCCTATCTACCTATTATATGCCTTTTCCACATTCATAAATGCAACAAAAACTTCTTTACCATTATCTAAATACTGTTCAGCTATATATTTTGCAGTAAACATTTGGTCCACACGCCTCCTTGTTCATCTTCAATCCTGCTCTCCATCTTACTTTTAATTCTTGAAGTAATAACTCTACCAGGTATAATCAACAGCCTTATTTCCCTATATAATTTTTGCACTCTCTTTTCTCCCCTTTGCTTTTATACAAAGGGACTATGCATGTCCTCTGCCAATCCCTAGGTACCTTAGTTACATTTATTCAATGAAAGCACCACTGTATACTGTAGAAAAAACTGTTTATTCATGTATTCTTTCTTGTTCAATGAATTTTCACCCAGTGTTTAGCAAGGAAACAACCATTTATCCTCCCGCCACCGTTTAGCCTCCTACCACCTTTCCAATATAAATGTTCCTTTACCCCCTCCCTCCAACCTCTCCTAGGCCGACCCCTACCCCGCCTTCCTTCCACTACAGAAAGGCGGGGTAGGGGTCGGCCTAGGAGAGGTTGGAGGGAGGGGGTAAAGGAGGTTTTGTGTGCGAGGGGCTTGGACTTCCAGCAGGCATGCGTGAGCGTGTTTGATAGGAGTGAATGGAGACAAATGGTTTTTAATACTTGACGTGCTGTTGGAGTGTGAGCCAAGTAACATTTATGAAGGGGTTCAGGGAAACCGGCAGGCCGGACTTGAGTCCTGGAGATGGGAAGTACAGTGCCTGCACTCTGAAGGAGGGGTGTTAATGTTGCAGTTTAAAAACTGTAGTGTAAAGCACCCTTCTGGCAAGACAGTGATGGAGTGAATGATGGTGAAAGTTTTTCTTTTTCGGGCCACCCTGCCTTGGTGGGAATCGGCCAGTGTGATAAAAAAAAAAAAAATTGTATATATATTTTTTTTAACAAGTCGGCCATCTCCCACCGAGGCGGGATGACCCAAAAAGAAAGAAAATCCTCAATATGCTTCAATGTAAACACTTGATGTACACATCCCCTACCCACTCTAAAGCCTCTTTGCTCATCTGCAATCCTACTCTCTGTCTTACCCCCTCATTCTTTCAGAATAATGCAAACCGTACATTTTTCCCCGGGTTTATAATCAGTAAACTTATTCCTCTAAAATTTTTTTTACAATCCTCTTCCCCCCTTTCCCTTTTATAAAAGGAATTATACATCCCTCTCTCCCAATCCCTAAGGTACCTTCTCCTTTTTCCTACATTTAAAAAAAACAAAAATATCAACCACCCCCTAACACTAATTTTTTCCCCCTCCCTTTTAACATTTCCGTAATGACCCCCCCGTCATTTCCCACTGTTTTACCCCCCTTTCTTTTTTATGTAATGCTTCCCCGCACCCCCCCAACGCTCAAAACTTGCTCTTCTCACTCCTAAAAGTGGGTAACCTCCCCGGCCATTCAGGGAAAGTTCCCCCGCCCCCCTTTTTTTCGTAAAACATTTAAAATTTCCTCAAAATATTCCCGCCACCCAACCAGAAACCTCCATCCCCCCCATCTACTCTTTTTCCCCTACGTCTTTTTAATTGAAAAACCCCATTCATTCCCTAGGCTTTCTTAATTTTGTTTTCTCAACCCAAAATTTTTTTTTTATTTTCATAAAAATTTTCTTGACAAGGGCCCCCCCCCCCCTCCCACTCTATCATCTGTTTTTCCTTTTTTACACTCCTCACCACTCTCTTCACCTTTTCTTTTACTTTCCATATACCTGCTCTTTTTATAACACTTCTCCCTTTGTAAAAACCTTCATAAGTTACCTTTTTCTCTTTTATCACACCCTTTATTTTTCCATCTTTTCCCACCACCTCCCCCTTTTTTCCCCCTGCACCCACCCCCTATAGCCACAAATTTCCCTTGCCGCATTTTCTAAAAACTGAAATTTTTAAAACCACCCCCAAACCCCCTCTTTAATCCCTCCACTATTCTATTTTCACTACCCCACCTTTCGGGCCAATATACTTAACTCCCCCTGAACTTCTTCCCCCCTTTTTTTTAAAACCATTTTTAAACCTCTCTCTTGTTGTTCCCTTTTTAATTTTGTCCCATCTACCTCTTTTCAACCCTGCACCCCCAAAACAAAAAAAGGATCCGATAAATCGGTTGCCCCTCTATAAACATGTACATCCTAAAACCTCCCCAACAACCTTTTATCCACTAATAAATAATCTAAAAAAACTTATTTTCATTATGTCCTACATAAATTCCTTTTTAAAATTTACCCCTTTTTTTTCATAAAAAAATTATTACTTATTACCAAACCTTTTTCTACACATAGCTAAATTTGGGGGCCCTCCCCTTTTCATTTCCCCCTGGCCCCCCAAAATTTTACCTACAAACCCCTCCACAACTTTTTTTACCCAAACTTTAGCATTGAAACCCCCAACCACAAGTACTCTCACACTTGGGTTTTCAAAACTCCCCACACACTCATTCAAAAATTTCCCAAAACCTCTCTCTCCCCCCAAAAACTTTTTTCTTCCCCAGGGGGCATATACACTTACTATAACCCATTTTTTCCACCCAAACCCCTTTTATTTTCCCTTCATAAAACCCCCTTTTTTTAATCCCTTTTTAAAACTCTCTTTTTCGCCATAGCTTTACCCTTTCCCAACATTTTTTGCTATCATTCTTTAGCTCCAACTCTATTTAAAAACCC